TTGATTCGCCTGCTTTGTTAAAAAAACAGATTCATTCGAAATTAAACAAACCACCACTACGTGTTGCTCAGAGAAGCGCTACAGTTCTGCTTTGTTTAGAACTATTTTCATTGGCGAAATATAGCGAAACCATCATTATTGACAATGTTGTGTCTAAAATGTCATTTAATATCAACGTTTTGTTTAATGAACTGCTGTATAAAATCAATTACATTTGCAATTGTGCTGATATTACGAAGAACTGCACTCTGCTCATGTCATACTGCTGAACTATCATGTTATAAATAAAAAACAAACTCATGCAGGAGCTTTATGCCCCCATATCTTAAAATGTCCAACTCTGACTGAAGGACAGTATATTAAAACACATAATTCAATGTTAAAATCACATTTAAAGGATTGATATTATTAATGAGAACCAAATGCAAATGCCGTTATGTTAATGAATGCATTGCATTCGTCATCGCAAATTGGTTCTATAAACTAACCATTACACCTGTTCCGGAAGTGGTCAGATGAGCAAAGGATGAACTGAAACAATACATTGTTATTTAAAAGATATTATGATGTTAAAAAGTATGTTTGAGCTGCTGATTTTCAAAATCATTTCAGTCCCTCTCTCCTGATAAACTGCAACGCAAACAAAGACATGCAATATCTCATTACAAAATGAAACACTCAGTACCATATAAGTCATGAATTCTACACAGCATTTACTACACAGGGCACAGCGGAAAGGCTGCTGCACTCAAAAAGACTCTCTAGTAATGTTTTTACAGACATGCCTGTTCAAATGAACTCTTTAAATTGTGTACTGCCGCATATACAGCATGACATACAGTAGTACCGTAGTAGTACATTTCTTATTGTCATTTATTTAATTTAAAGTACTAAACATTGCTACAACTAAATAAATTACAACTAAAATTTAAAACTTATAATAACGTTTAATAAAATCTATACAGACTTATCAAAAAATGAAAATAAATAAAATAACTCTAATTTAAAATATTAACAATAACTGTAGTAGTATCAATGATACTAAAATAACACTGGTTGGAGCGTCACAGTGTTTACACTCTTCTAGGAAGTCAACACTAGAAATGCCCTGATCCAGCTGTATCTGCAGCACGGACACTATTGACCTGTTAAACCGTAATGCTTGTAGCTGTATGTACTGCTGTTCTCGTAAACTTGGAGGCTGCCCAGTGCACATGATAAACCCTTCATAAAGAATCTGTTAGAGAATGTAAAACCTCTATCTGAAGACCTCCTGACCACAGCTGTGTGGGACTCCTTGAGCACCTTTCAAAGAGCGAGAAGGAGTCTGCGGTACTGAGACCAAATAAACCAGGGTCTTAAGGCCACAGGCGTTCTCTTCTGTGAAAAGCGGGCTAAAATGAATGCTGGCAGTGAAAAACTCAGCCACCCTATCTCAGTCCTGCAGTCCCATCCTCCCCGGCTTGAGATCAGTGTGGATGCTTCCCTCTAGCTCTTATCCTGCTCTCTCATGTCTAAGCCTGCAGTGCTGCTGTTCCCTCGCAGATACACCAGCTGTGACTCTATCAAGCCCCTTTCAGAGGGAAGATGAAAGATGAAGATGAATTTGATGTGCCTGATGTCTCTAAAGTTTTGAATGTTTTGACCCAAACTCTCCACCTTTCCCATGTTATTTTCTTTATGGGCCTCCAAAAATATTTCAAGATTATGATTGTGCGGTATTTCATCCCAAAATCTGAAGATTATTATTATCCTCATTACTTCCAAAACAACATCATTTTTAATTATCAGTGTAATGCAATTTTTACAATTATTTTTACTTTTTTTAATTTCAAAATATATCTATACTATAAATATAATTATATAAAAAATTGTGCATTAGAAAATGAATGCCGTTAATCATGTCTCTGATACATGTATTGGATAACATTCAAGCTTGAATTACCAGTCAATGCTTTTTTCGTGTTTCATTAGTAATCATAGGTATCCGTACGTAAAGTAGTAGCACACATACATTTTTGTATGATGACATGAATACTAAAATTTGCATAATTAGTGTACAGTGTCAACAGCGTCTAAAAAGCATATTACTAATTTACAACTTTAGAGATGTGCAAATGCAAAAAAAACCCTTTCAAGTTCATAGAATTGATGGAATTAATAGGCTGATTTAATTGAATTTATTTAATGACAAATATGTTCAACGTGATCACATTCATTCAAATCCAAAATCAAGTCTTGCATTAGTTAAACATTTAAAATTTGCCACCTGAAGCGTTACACCACAGGTTTGAGGTCAAAGGCGCCACATGCATTGGCTCTTGCATGTCTTTTGGCCAACTGTGAAATGCCAACTTTTGACACTGTGGCATTAAAATCTGACTACTTTGATGTACGAGATCTGGGGACAATTTTCAGCAATTTACAATTTTAATTTCACTTTAAAATCTGTAATTAAACTTGCTGCCACTGTACATTTATCTGTTTTTGTGTAGTTGAGATATGGTTAGGTTTAAGGTAGGCTTGAGGTTAAGGGCTCAAAAATATCTACATGATTGTTAAAACATGCCTAGAAATACATTTAGGCCCGGGTTTCACAAACGGGGCTTAGCTTAAAGGGATACTCCACCCCAAAATGAAAGTTTTGTCATTAATCACTTACCCCCATGTCGTTCCAAACCCGTAAAAGCTTCGTTCGTCTTCGGAACACAATTTAAGATATTTTGGATGAAAACCGGGAGGCTTGTGACTGTCCCATTGACTGCCAAGTAAATTACACTGTCAAGGTCCAGAAAAGTATGAAAGACATCGTCAGAATAGTCCATCTGCCATCAGTGGTTCAACCGTAACGTTATGAAGCGACGAAAATACTTTTTGTATATGAAGAAAACAAAAATAACGACTTTATTCAACAATTCGTCTCCTCTCTCTCTCCGCATCACCGTGGCGCCATTTTGGAGAATATCCACTGAAACCAAGCAGCGTACGCCCTTCTGTGTCAGCCGCGACACAAGGATACATTTTCTACGTGTATTTACGCTTTGATTTGAACGAAAACAGCGCATCCGTGCAGCGCGGCTGACACAGAATAGCGTACGCTGCTTGCGTTCTAGTGTATTATTTACTAAGGCATTTAAAGGCAGGGTAAGTGATTTGGTTCAAAAACATTTGTTAAGCTGGTTGAAAGTCTCTTCACATCCCAATAGCAATCACTAACTTAAGTGGTCTAAATGTGTTTATATTGCCTGTGGAAGGCGTAGGACCATAAAATGTTCGTCCAATCATATTCCTCGGTCCGAAGATTATGATAGGCTGTCCTACATGCCTGTCAATGGCTATTGCAGACCGAGCAAGAATGGAAGGGTTATTATTGTAATATTATGCACTTTGTACTGTAAAGTTTTCTCACTGGTGAATGAGACATGAGGTAATCTGACAGCGCTACAGCGTGTCGCTGGTTAGCCGCTGGTCTGCCTGTGCGCGGTCATGTGTTTTGGAGGAGGCGTGGCTTTGGAGAGTGATTATACTTTCAAAGCTAGCTTGCTATTGCTAGCCTCTCCAAAATCGCATACTCTACCTTTAAATTTAATATATTTTAAATGTACTAAATTGCAACGTTATCATTAAAAATTGTATTTAAATGAAGTACACTTTAACCATATTTCAAAATCAATATTAGAAGTAATTATAAAATTACACATAGGCTCGGTTTCACAAACGGTGCGTACAACTTCAACTTACTAGGCCTTAGTTAAATTAAGATATTTAAGCAACTTTTACAAAAAATGCCTTAGAAGAAAACATATTTTAAGATATGTCAGAGCAAGATATTTTCAGTTGAGACAGCTCAAACATGCATTTTAGTCTGGGACTAGCTTAAGCCTTGTCTGTGAAACCGGGGGTTAAAATATAAAGGATTTGTAAAGATTTCTTAAGATCTGTAAATAATTGTAACTTTTAAAGGATTAGTTCATCCAAAAATGAAAATTTGCTGAACATTTACTCATCCTTGGGCCATTCAAGATATAGATGAGTTTTTTTTCTTCATCAGAACAGATTTGGAGAAATTTAGCATTATATCAGTTGTTCAGCAATGGATCCTCTGCAGTGAATGGGTGCCATCAGAATAAGTGTCCAAACAGCTGGAAAAAAAAAGAATCCACAAGTAATCCACACCACTCTAGTGAAGCAAAAAGGCAGTGTGTTTGTAATAAATTCATCATTAAGATGTTTTTAACTATTGCTTCTGGCTGAAATACGAGTCCTCAGGTGTTGTTTTGACAACATTGTTGTCTGCATGAGAAACATTTAAAAAAAACGCAAAGTAAAAACTTTAGCATTATTTAGTACATTGTTGTTGTGTAAACATACCTTGAAACCAGTCCAAACCAGTTCTAAACAAATATGTTGGTGAAAAAACAGATTATATTCTGGTATTTTGGCCAGAAGCGATGGTTTGAAGTTAAAATGCCTTAATGAGATATTAGTTTCTTACAAACACACAGCTTTTTGCATCACAAGATATTAATTGATGGATTGGAGTTGTGTGGATTACTTGTGAATCATTGTGATGTTTTTATCAGCTGTTTGGACTCTCATTCTGACGGCACCCATTCGCTATAGAGGATCCATTGGTGAGCAAGTGACGTAATGCTAAATTTCTCCAAAGAAACAAACTCCTCTACATCTTGAATGTACTGAGGATGAGTACATTTTCAGCTAATTTTAATTTTTGGGTGAACTATTCCTTTAAGTGCTATAGTTCTGTTTCTATCCAAAGATACAAAATTTATGTGTATGTTATGTATGAAGAACTACATTTTCTTAGGAGATCAGGCTGTGATGCCAGATGAGATTTTTCTGAACATGAAGTGTGAAAGGTTACCCACATTGAAAGGGAGTTTTGTGGGAAGATGGATGAAGCCCTGACAGCTCCATCTATACAGGCACAGTTGTGGGATTCTGTAATGAAATATATATTTTCTTTCTCCTTTCTTCAGGGAGGCTCCATCCAGAATACAAAGTCAAAGCGATGCCTTGAACTCATGGAGAACAATGACAATGAGTTCGGATATCAGCTGACGCTCCAGAAATGCACTGGCCAGAACTGGACCATCACCAATATGTTGCCTGGTAGCACCTTATGATGGTACCATCGAGACTGAGGGAGGACTGCATTGACAAATGATGACAAGCTTAAGCACCTGGATGTCTCTATTTGACTTTGACATCATATGATAAATGTTAAACATTTTTCCTAGCTGCTGTACTTGTGCATACTGATAAGCCACATTTGGCAGATATTGCATTGTGTATTATAAGGTTCTACACTGTACTGAGATTTATTTTGTGCAAGGTATACTTGGTTTTGTCTTGACTTGAAGGTTGTACCGGCTCCAATGCACACATTGAAGCCATAATTGCTACTATGTAGCAAAGCTTTGACAACGTTCCTGCTGTATTTCTTTCTAGTGTCTCAGGTTTGTAGGTTGAGATTATTTTGAAATAACTCTGTACATTTTTGGGACATGCCAATATGTTGGAACTTATCTAGATACAATCAACTGTTTTATATCTACATGTAGTAAATATTCTCAGTATTTATAATTAATGGCAGTAAAAAACAAATGCGAAGACGGTTTGTGAGTTCTGCTGATCTTCATTTTTCTACACAGGACCTTGTACCATCATTCCTGTAAACAGAGAGAGCTGTAGTTGTTCTGACAGATTTGGTCATTCCTCGCCGTGTCAGTGGTTTGGTTGAACAGATGTGCTCTCTCTAGAGTACAACTCAGTGTTTGTTCCTTCAGATGCATGGCATGCACTTGTTGTGTTCACCAAAATATTCCATGGAGTTCACAATGAATTTTATAGCAGTGGTTTAAACTGGTGGATCGCAAGTCAAAAATAGGTTACAGGTCTGTTCAGGACATCAGAGGAAACACTGCTGAGTACAATAATTATAACAAAGCATATAGATACAATACCAAAATATGAGATGTGGGCCCAATCAAATTTGCTCTCACTTTAATTTGGACTATGGACTATTTCTACAACTTTTGCCTCAATGAACTAATAATTTGCTGCTTATTAATAATAAGGTAGTTGGTAATTTTAGGTATGGGGTAGGATTAAGGGATCTAAAACATGGTCATGCTGAATAAGGTATTAATATGTGCTGTATAAGTACTAATAAATAGCCAATACGCTAGTAATATACAGTACATGCTAATAAACAAGTTAATAGTGAGAATTGGTCCCTAAACTAAAGTGTTACCTCAAATTCTATAATATTTTGGTGCAAATGGAAAATCATTTCTGTTAAATGGACATCATTGGAAAACCATATGCACAAAAAAAAATCACGGGGGACAAGAAAGTAATGTGGCTCTGGCTGCATTAAAAACAGGTATAATCAAGATTTGTGCCATTCACAATGTGTTTTGTGTGGTGAATTGCTGGCTTTATTAATATTAGATATTTAAGTATTTCTTTTATTTAAAAGTGTTTCTCTTATTTAAAGTTAAATCAATATTATATTTATATTATATTACATTTATTACAATTGAATGTTTTAAACAAAAAGGTAGATGTCTGCACACTGAAATTATTTTTATTACAACCAAGAGCAGGATTTGTGCCTGATGAAGAGCTAAATTGAAACGTTGCGCTTTGTTGTAATACAATTTTCTGGTGCTTTAATTTGGTCCAAAATTCATATTTTTCTTAATTATTAAAACAATTATTTGAGCTATGATTTGAATCTCATTTTGCTGCGTCTTGTATATGAAAGCTAGCAGAATGAAAGCATGAAATCACAGTGAAACAGCAGCGCTCATGTTTGGTATGGTGTGCAAAAACGTGCAAGCAGTGCCTTTCATGTTCTAACAAACAGAACAGAGGAAGAACAGAGGTCTGTCTTTATAGATGGTCACACTACAGAGGGGGGGAAAAGAACTCTTCTAAAGTACCAAACTTAAACCTTATTTATCTGACCCATAAGTGAACCCAGTGGACTCAGATCTCTGTGGTCCACTTTAGTGTCTTAGTCCACTTCATCTGAATTATTTACAGTAACTATATTTGGAACTAAAAAAATTGAATATTATATCATTGCAATATAATACTGATAATAATAATAATATAGACATGTACATGAACATTGTGGTGCTTACCATGACTAACACCCTGTTTCTAAGGTGTTCCTCGGCAGTTGTAGTTAGTCTGGGAAGTTGCCACCCAGGTGAACACTGTACGCCTGATTGCTTAAAAACGTCGTATCAGTATTCCATTCAATGTATAACAAATGCTGCAGGACAAGGTAGATGCCATCATTTGTACTGAAGAAGAGGCAGCATGTGTGATGATAATAATAGTAATGCTTTGCATCAGAAGCATCATTCATAATAATGAATATAACACAGCAGTATTGTATTTTTGGTCACACTTTAGTATGGGGACCAATTCCTACTATTAACTACAAATGCCTCAATAAACTCCTAATCTGCTGCTTATTAATAGTTAGTAAGGTAGTTGTGAAGTTTAGGTATGGGATAGAGTTAAGGGATCTAAAATATGGCCAGGCAGAATAAGGCATTAACATGTGTTTTATAAATGCTAATAAACAGCCAACATGCTAGTAATATGCATGCTAAAAGCAACTAGTTAGTGAGAATTGGCCACTAAACTAATGAGTTACTGTATTTTCCTTCCTGATTTTCTATCTGAACACAGGAATTTAAGTTATTATTCATTGAAAATCTCACCTTCTGCTGTAGGTCTCGAATCTAATTAGCAGTTTTACATATTCAAAACTGGCACATCATGGCCAGTCACGATGAAACAACCAATGGCTTTGGCATCACTGATATCAAACCTGGCATGATGAGTTTTGATGCGTCACATTTGAATGTGAATGCAATCCCTTCTGGTGTTTTTGGAGCACCTGATCACTGTATGCTTTGTATGGAAAGGAGCGCCGGCTTAGACATTTTTCAAGGATAAAAGAAAGTTAAATGATTTAAAGTCACGTCAGAAACCATACAGAAATTTCATTTTTAGATGAATGATCCCTTTTAAAGACTCCATTGATACTGTTGTTCTATGCATGGTGGTAAACAGCTTTGCTGTTCACGTGTCAAAGATTTTATTCTCAAAAGATGTCCGGATCCTCCCTGTAGTGGCAGTTGTGTGCATCGATAGATGTTTTCTTTAAACTCTCTTCCCCTCTCTCTCTCTGGTGTGTATCAAGGGAAGAGACGAGTGGCACTTTCTGTTCTCAACTTGCCAGTCCTCATTAACATCTACAGTCCTGCTGGGCCAGAGGGATGTTTGCCATTAAATATACATGCACATCCACTTCTACCACCCTCACAATGCCACAAAAGTCTGGGAAATTTTTGCATTTGCAACGACCTTATGCATGTAGTTAAAATACAACTCAAAAGGTTTACAACTTAACAGTGCATAGAAAATCATAGACAAAACCACACACACGCTGCTTCAAGAACATCAGCTGATACCTATTCATGCACCCAAAGGCGGCCTGCCAAAAAGATTCTCTAAAAAATTGTGATCTTTACTTTCATTGTAAACGTAGGGCGGCAAAGCACAAGGTCAACACGTCTCTCTTATCTAATGGTTTAATAGGAGTCACTCAGATCAATATTCCATTCAGACGTTCAGCTGGCAGTGTCCTGGCTCGATGTGTCCTTCTCCCATCCAAACATGATCAAAGCCAAACCCTTTTTGGGTTTCAGAAAAGCGATGATGTTACATCAACCTACTCATGCAAAACCACTGTTGAGGAACTGATACTTATTGTAGCACTGCAGAACTACTTCTGAAATTCTATTATCATTACTCAAAGCATTGAACTCTATTGAGTGAAACATTGCTCTCAAAGCGCAAAGTTAAAGTGATTTCAGCTTTGACCCTGCTTGTTGATGACCTTTTTGAGGCAAAACCAATGATTAACATACAATTTATAGGATGTAGGATGGATCATCAAACTGGTGGTTGTCCAGACTGAAACCAGGATTTATTTATTATTACCTGAATTAATTTAATGTTATGACATTGAGAAAAAAAAAACGTTGTTTTATTCCAATTGAGTACCACTAAGAACTGAACTGAGGATGTCTTGAATTTTAACTGAATTTCAATCGATGTAGGCCTATAGCAAAATGCAAAAGAAAAAAATTGTTTCTATTTAAGAAAATAGAATTAAAATGATGTGAAACTCCATAAATCCATATACCTAATTTTTCACTGGAAAAGCAAGATATGTCAAGAAAATGTTTTAAAAAGATAGATAGATAGATAGATAGATAGATAGATAGAGGCATAGAGGCAGAGGCCCCCCCTCCGGACCGAAGGGGACGGTCGGACTTGAGTTTAGCGTGTATAATAGTCTTATTCATATAACTGCTATTACCTGAATTAATTTAATGTTATGACATTGAGAAAAAAAAAACGTTGTTTTATTCCAATTGAGTACCACTAAGAACTGAACTGAGGATGTCTTGAATTTTAACTGAATTTCAATCGATGTAGGCCTATAGCAAAATGCAAAAGAAAAAAATTGTTTCTATTTAAGAAAATAGAATTAAAATGATGTGAAACTCCATAAATCCATATACCTAATTTTTCACTGGAAAAGCAAGATATGTCAAGAAAATGTTTTAAAAAGATAGATAGATAGATAGATAGATAGATAGATAGATAGATAGAGGCCCGGCACCAGAGGCCCCCCCTTCGGACCGAAGGGGACGGTCGGACTTGAGTTTAGCGTGTATAATAGTCTTATTCATATAACTGCCTGCTGTTGCTTCTGATTGCTTTTAGATGGAAAAGCTGCCCATAATCCCTGGTCTAGGATCTGTTTTCTTCGTAATAATAGCATAACGAAATAGATTTGGCAAACAATCCAGTGTATCTGCCCTTCTGCTTTGGAAAGCGTCAAATGATTTTACAATGCATTTTCTCAGAGGTGAGCAATGTAGCCAATCACAGACATGTTTGTTGATTTCTAAAACGAAATGGCCAATCAGAGGTGTTTAGGTTGGAATCCATGCACTCACCGCTCCAGTCACCGTTTTTTGTCCAGTGCTGAGTTCTATCATGCTCGTAACTTCTTTCTAGCAAAGACATTACGAAAGTTTCATAGTGTAGTCACGTTCCTTGTTTTTTTGGAACTTTGTGAGATCGTGATGAATGAGTGACAGTTTTTAATAAATTTAAAGGGAGCACTCTTTGCATGCTGTAGGCCTATATCATAATATATTCAGAATTTAAATCAAACTTGTGTTTTTCATGCTTGACAAGCAGCCACGTACGACACAGAGATAGCTAACTACTACACTATATAGAAAAAGATAATAAGTTGAGAAGCACAGATGTGATTATGCAACCGAGCCTGGTCCAAACGCAGGATTTAGGTAGGAAACGGTTATTATTTGTATTGGCTGCCATCATGCCAAATCATGCACACCTGCTTGCTTTTCTGTTTAACTTAACAGTGTTTTTGTGAACATATATATGCTTTAATAACAAATAATTGTAACACTTTACAATAAGGTTCGATTAGTTAATGTTAGTTAATGTATTAAAGTGTATTAACGTGTTAGTTAACTATTGTAAAGTGTTACAATTTTTGACTCAGAAATGATATATATATATTT